TAGAACTTTTAATTACACCCGACGCGCTGGAGCATAAAGGTTAGTGAGCTTGCGTAGTGAAATCTGAATGACCAAGCAAGCAACTGGGGCTAAATGCGCCAGGGACTGTCTGCGGGTGTAAAGAGAGGATATATGTTTAGCTTAAAAAGTTGGAATTTATATGAATGTTGATTTTGTTTGTATGCGAATAGGAAAATTACTTGAATACGAATTCTCAACAAAAATCTGCTATCGTTTCTAGGGGTAATGTGTGCTAAAGGCTTTACCACCGGTTGTCCTATTACAATTGCACTTTCTTTAAGTGTTCTTGGTAATGTAAGTATGTACATTAGGGTGCGCCTTATTTTTAAACTTTGGCCCCCAAAGCAAGACTCCCCTCGGGTAGGTTCATCTGCTCATAAAAATCTGACGAGATATGAAAATCTATATTTGAGATCAGCGTGCAAAAATTCATTGACTTATAAGTCATTTCTCCTTTTTTATGTAAAATTTAATGAATTAGCGTATGTAAATGTCGGGCTCTTGACGCACGTCTTATCCGTTATTCGAGGTTGAAAATTTTTCGAAGAGCACGTTTTCATGACTAAACGAACGCATCTAAGGGAATTCTGGATCTGCTCTAATGTACATATACTATATGGGCACCTGAGTGGAAGATCGACCTATCTCGGCAGCCAGTTCGAAAACGCCATATCTCAGAAGACTTTTCAAGCACGTCCCACTTGAGAATTTGATTGAAAAACGCCACATTTCAGAATTTTATGAAAAAACACTATATCTCAGAGTTTGGTTGAAGAAAGCCCTATCTCAGATTTTTTTTTCAAATTGAAAATATATTGAAAATGTGCTGAGAGAGGGCATTTTTGAATCGGCAGCTGAGATAGGGTGTTCTTCACTCAAATTCTCCTGGACAGATGCGCTTAGAGTCGGCTCAGCAAGCATTGGGTGAAAACGCCACAATGCGAAGTTGCATAGTCTTTTTGGCCGGTGGTTGACCGCAAAGATCAAAGGGTCTTCTGCTACTGTCTAAGCGCTTGCGCTCGATTCTTTCATGTGAACCCATGCAGTGCGAATTAATATCGTCACGGACCCCTACTGCAGCTGTTTCGAGGACGAGGTGGAATCATTTCAGCATTTTATACTCAGCTGCTTGGATTTAGCTAGACTAAAGTTTAAACACCTCGGCTCGTATTTTGTCAATACCCCCGAGGAACTCTTTAGAGGGAACATACGTTTCTTTGAACAACCTAAGGTCTACGACTGGCCAGAAGGCACCAATCAGTTTATATCGAAAAAATTTGAGAAAAGGTCGCTAACGCTTACGGTTAGGGAACACTATGGTAAGCAAGAATGATAGAATACAAGATTGCGCCGATCAGAGAGGATTTTTGAGAATAACTTTTGTGTGACGTCACACTGGTGCAATTGCGAGAGAGAAATGCCAAAACGTGAGCAAGAATGGAAGAAGAAAAAATGTTGCAAGGAAAACGAAAATAAGTTGCACAAGTGTGACGTCATACAAACAACAATTCTGTCAAATTCACTGAGAGAGGAATAGCGGTACCATGATGGGCGCAACGTTTGTATTCTCTCAATCGTGTATGGTAAGTAATATATAAACACATACATACAAGTACATGAAAGTTACTTTCAGACTTTACCAACATGAGTTGGACAATTTATGCTTCACCTTTTTTCGGAATTTTTGCTCGCAAAACTTATGCCTGAGCCCATTACAAAGTCAAATCAGTAAAATGGATGGTGTATTGTCTGAAGGTAGCAGTATTAACCAAGCTTAAATTGTCTGACTAAACAAAATTGTGAACATTTTTCTTAATAACTAGAAGGTATAACATTTGTGCCATTAAAAAAAAAAAACATTTCTCAGCAGCATCAAACACCCGTATTAAAAAAACAAACACAAATGCACAACCGCAGCGCTAAAAATTATGACTAATGATGTACTCATGGTTTTCTTAACCTTTGCAATTTCAACTGCAGTTTATTTTTCCGCATTTGACTTATAGCGCCATGAGGAGATGGAAACTGGGAAGAAATACTGTGCATATTAAGATTTTCCTTCAACGAATTACCAAATAGAAAACTGAAAACAGCTACTTATAAACATTTCGGTCGAAGTGTTAAGTCGTTTTGCTCTGAAAGTGTTAAGGAAATGAAATCGTTGAACCTCCACTGTTAAAGCGCAATAAAAGCTTGGAAAAGTCAAAAACTAACTGTAAGGGGCTTTGATGGCAGCAGTATGAGGTACTGAAATGCTGCTGTTGCATTGGTTTGGGTATAGGTACACGCCGCGTTGAGTTTTAAATGCTTCGAAAAAGGAAGGAAGCCGATCGACTACATTGCGAGTACATATACTAAATTAAAATAAATTATGTGGCTGCTGAAGCAGAGTGTAAACTGCGTGGATAACATTAAAGATAATTCTGTGTTGATTGGGGTTGCAATTTAAATTGACGGACATTAGCGTATATGATTTCACCATGGACAGAGAGGATAAGCTTATTCCATTAATCTTAAGTTTACTAAGCTTAAACTGCTTTCTCAGGCTTAGACAGGCTCTCGAAGAAGTAGTCCCTCAGAAATTGGCGGCGTTTTCTCCGGAGTGCGGAGAAATCGTTATGCGGGGTTTAGAACCTCGCCGCTATGTGGCTAATGGCCATATATCCCGTTGGTATTCCTGTGAGAAGCATAACTTTTCTTCGCTCATCGAGTCGTGGCCAGACTGAGCGCAATACCAAGCAGGTGTACAGATTATTCCAACGGCTGTTGAGGGCTGCCCTGGTCACTTCCTCAACTTCTGAAGAGAGGAATTGATGGGGAGGTTTAATATTCCTAACCACTTTTCCTAATTCTATATCAGTTTCTTTTCCAGCATACTCGCCCGCTTCCTCATTTCCCGGAGTACCGCTGTGGTAATTATAAGACCGAAATCAATCGTCCCTTTCATTGCCAAGCTTTGACTGTTATTTAAACCCCGATTACGCTTTTTTTTCGGTAGTGCTTGTCAGTGAACTTCCTTTTAATGTCCACCAAAGGGTGCTGTCTATATAAAACTGTTGCAGCTCATAATTCACTTTGCTTTGGTATCCGTAGATGCTGGATTTTGATCTTTAGTCCTCACAAATGCCTAAAGAGCTTTCACTATATCTCACAAAATAAGATTCTTATAGATTATGATGGGAACCCTTTCAAAATTTGGCCTTTGTGATGCTATTGAAAGATTGGGATTGGATAATATATGCGATAAGGTTCCAAAAAGCGGCAAAGAAATCTGTTGCCACCTTTCAAAAAATTTAATTTAAATTATCGGAACAGTTAAATTTAATATTACAATACGGGAATCACCATTACAATTACAATGCGGGAATCAAGGTGTTGACAAAGCTTTATTTATTACCTGTCTGCCAGCTGTTTAAAAAATGGCATTCAATTCGAAGTAACTGAAATCTGTATCAAGATATGGGTCCAAGCGAAAGAGATTTGGGAAGGTAGTAGTTGAAAATATTTCGAAGAGAGTTGCCACCAGTTACCAAAATACGAATTAGGTTAACTTGTTCTACATGTTATATGCAATATTAAACATGGGTGTCAATCGAACTTGTGTTGAGACATCTACAGTTAGAACATTTAGAATTTGTTTATTGAAATATGGGTATCAACCGAACTGGGTGGCAAATGTATTTATTTCTTAACTCTATTTAGGAGGGTGTTTAAAAAATCAAATTCTATTTAATTCGTCAATTAATAGAAATATGTATCACACTGTCAGACGGAAGAGATTTAAAAATATTTAAGTTTAGTTTTTTTTGTACACAAGTTAAGTGAAATATTAAAATGTGTATAAGTGCCCAAAGGAAGAGTTTTAAGAAAACTTTACTTAGGCCTTTTAGCCCAATTAGGGCTTTTGCGTCTCTGATTTTTTTTTTTAATTTTTATGCTATAGAGCTAATTGATTCCTTTTAATTTTTTTGTCCAGCCGTTTTCGAGATATCTATTTTTCTTTTTTAATGTCTATAACTTTGCGAAAAATAGGCTGATTGGGATTATTTCTTGTTTAAAACTTTTCATTTTTAAAACACTTTTGGAATATGAAATCGGAAAAATTTTTAAAAAGCGTATTTAGAAAAAATTTCAAAAATTTTAATATAAAATAACATACCCCTTCTTCTGAATTGGTTCTAAATTGGCTCCAGAAACAAACAAAAAGGAAGCGACTTTCTGAACCTGACCTTGTTTTCGTTTCTTTTCACCGAAGCTGCATCGATCGATCGATACGTACGACTATATGTGCTTTATTTTACTTACATTGAAATTAATGAATAAATGGAAAATTGAATTCTTCAGCTTAACCCATAAACTCTGCTCTCGAAAGAAAACGCGTCTCCGCAGCAAAGATATATTGGCTCTTGTCTCGAAATTCTTTAAAATCCTGATATTTTTTCCCAATTGAGTAGTTTTTCTTTCGAAAGAATAAAAAATAAATAGGTTAAGCATCCTCCTCAATCCAGAGAGTTTTTTTTTTATCGTGGATTTAATTGCTGATTATTAAAAAAATTACTTCATGGAAAGGGTCATCTAAAATCTTCAAAAACAGCAAAAAAATATCTGTGACGTGATTTATGGACGCCCATTTATAACCCCCGCATCGCAGCTTTACCGCAACGCAGGCTCTATCGACTTAAAACCAAATTCAATAACATTTTCTCTTAAGATGCATTCATTCATGAGGTGATTTTTTGACGGGCGATAATCACCTGCAAAAACTTGGCTTGCTGTCTACTTTGGGGCAAGCGGTTTTCGAATCACCATTTATACCAGAGTTTTTTGTTGTGCAATGTTGAATCGCCTCACGTAAATGCAGCCTAACTATCTTCGAAGCAGCCACAAGAGTGAAAAAAGCAATTCGTAATCCGTTAGCTTTTTCATTCAATAACAGCTATGAATTAAAAAATAACTCAAATTAAGTAATAAACACTTACCTCATATGACTTGTACTTTTCATTCCTTTATGGCCCACAGTGACTCGTAGTTGTAATTTTTCACGCACTCTGCAATAAAATGAATATACAATAGAAATTATTAACAATTAGTCAACAAAAAAGTTGGATAGGAAAGCTATATAAAAGTAAAACAAACCCGAAATTTAGGAAGTTTTAACTAAAACATTAAATTTAATTTATGTATACTTTTGATTTTTAGTTTAAAAAAGGAACAAGTTTAGCACAAAATAGTTTCTTTTTATTGAACTTTTGTTAAGATAGCTTATTAAACTTCAATTATGTTTGGTTAGTAGTTAAAATATTAACAAGGAACCCAAAAATTTCGTGCATTTCATAAAATTCTGATTTTGAGAGAAATGATTTTTGTTTAAAGGCTACAAAATTACAATTCAATTAGAAATTCGTTGACAGCCGCCTGTTGACTCAATAATATTATTATAACAATGCCGTGTATTAACGAAAACAATAAAAACGTTGAACAAGACAGACAATAGTAAAAATTATTGAAATGCACTCATATGCGCACTTAAATAAGTACTTTTTCGCGCCTTTTTTTCTTGGCCATGTAAGCTTTTCAACTCTGAGGCATTGGATTGTCCCACTTTTTTGGTATGACCAAAACGGCAAGGAAACAAAAGAGAAACAATATGTAAAAGAAGTACATATATTTAATGCAATAGGGGAACTTTTGTCGGAGCAAGTGTAAGTAGGAGTAATTGAGAAAAGTAAAGTGGAGATTAAAAAAATTCATATATATTCGACAACGCTGTTATTATTGGTGATGCAACATCTGCTTTGGTAAGGTAAATGGGAAGAGATATATATAAATACATAGCAGATGAAGAAAATATTTAACAACAAACTAGTCATAATAATCTGTGTTGAAGAGTCGACACATGTTTTTGAGGGATCACGTGTACCAAATCTCATTAAAGTGTAAAATACCTTGATTATTTTGGATATACATATGTACACAAATATGTCTGTATGTGTATGCAATGAAAAAAAAAATGTCGATAAGGTGTTATAATAACCGTTTGAAGTAAAAGTTTCACTTAAATTTATTCTACGCGAAAATAAGATTATGGCGAAATTATTATAGCGTCTCAGTATATGTATATACATACGTTAGTGCTGTCCAAAAAAGTAAAGTCGAAATTTTAATACTCTCACCCTCTAGGGCTGTTCTATATCAAATAAAATATCACCTATTTTTTATTTGGAAATTAGAAAATCTTTCAAAGCGCTCAAAGTTTTCCATGTATTTTATATGGAAAAAAACTTTTCGTAAAAATGGTATAGAATTTTTGAAAATCTTGAAGGAGACTTCCAATAATAATATCTATTCTTTTTTTTAGCGTTTTTTATTATCAACTATTTTGTAGGACCCCTAAAGACCCCAAAAAATGCTTTGACGAGACCCACAACAAAGAGCTATGTAATATTATTATTATTGGGAGCCCCCTGAAGAGAAACAGAGTTTTCATATCGAAAAATATTCAATTTCAAGAATTCAATACCATTTCCAAGAAAAAAGTTTTATTTTGTATATAAAATATATGGAAAATTTTGAGCGACCTCTAAATATTTTTCGATTAAAAAAAAAACTGTGGTAAAGAACAATCCTAGTGGTGAGAGCATTAAAATTCCGACTTTTCTTTTCAACATGAATTTTTGGACCACCCTAATGTACATACATACAAATGCATGTATACAAACATTTTTATTGGTTTGGCTTTGGGCATATCCAAATTTTTTTTTAATGAAGAATTTACTAATTGTTGACTGAAAAATGGGTTACAAAGTCTTCGTAAGTTTTTCTTTATTAATTATTTATTTTCGGCATTTTTGATGAAAATAACGGTTTCCTAAAATATGTACATATAGTACCGAATATTTTGTTTAACAAATCAAAAATAAATTTTTCAAATAAAATTCAATGAAAGACTTATTAAAATAGCTACCAACTTGTTATTAGATATAAATGTGCACAAAAAAGAAATAACATTTCGCAATTGCTAAGTTGTTGTTAATTTTGTGCCGCTCTGCGCTCTCGCTGTTGGACTTCTGGAGGGATGTCTGTAGAAAATTTAAGTTGGTGAACTTCCAGAGAAGTTTTTCTCTACCACAAATTAACAAAATCTATTCTGTTGCTGCTTCTCTGTTATTAACGTTGATTAATACACTCAAAAAAAAAATTGTGTTTAAATTTGTGCATTTTAGGATAGGTAACCAACCAGTTTCCTCTCTTAATGAATGCAAATTTATTTACCGTATTAATTAAATTCAACACTGCTTGTTTACTTTTACTTATCAAGTATGTGGCGTAGAACAAATTTAAAATTTGTTTGTTGAATTGTAAACATTTATTGTTCACAATTTCACAGTTTGCACTTGAAACTTTTAAAATTTGGTCTAAAAAATTTGTGTTTAAATTTACGCATATGCATAAAGAGAGGCAAGCAATTTCCTCGCCTAATGTGTGCAAATTTACTAACCGTGTAATAAAATTAAACAATAACGGTTTACTTTTACATACCAAATTTGTCGAGTAGTAGTGTAGAGTAAAATTACATAAAAATATGAGCACTTAAAGTTTATTATTAGTAAAAAATGTAACTTCTAAACATTTCACGTATTTATTTTTGTATATATTTTAAACATTCAAAGTCATATCTTGAACATCTTGTGCGTATATTTACACAGATTCTGGTTGATAAATAAACACTTTTCAGGAGTAGTTTTGCAGGCACTTTTTAGAGTGTATTTTACATTAAATTTCGAGAACTGCGGAATATAATTTCTTTTTAGTGCTATATTACATCCTTTCATCATGACAACCAATAACTTTTATGCAAAACACCTTATGAAATATTCTCTGTAGTCTGAGCATGAGGGAGAACCCCTTGAAAAATCCGACCTCGGATGAAAAATCAATCACTCGATAAACCGTTTTTTAGTTTCATTTGACTATGTGTTTTCACTTATTTGACGACAAATGCTATTGAATTAGACATATGTAGTGACACCGGTTTTTAATCTTACGATTCGCTTGTTTTTAAACTTCACTTTTTTATGCTACGCGCTTTAAGTTGCTCAATGTTTACCTTCAAGAATTGAAAATTGACTGAATTACCAAAAAAAAAAAAACAAAAAGTAAATGAAATAACTTCGAGTACCTCTTATAAAGTGTACTTTAAATATTTATGCATGTACATACATATATACACAGGCATAATCAAAGAAATATTTACTTATTAATCAGTCACATAACAAAAGACTTGCCAACGGACTGTAGTGGGTGGGTATTAAATAAACAAAAATTAAGCAGCTATTGTTGGCAGGTAGTATATGCTGAAATTCGTAGTCACCAAGAGAAGCAGGAAATTCAAGTGCACATAAATACATATGTACTATATATTCGCGTTTGAAATTAAAAAAAACACCCGAATTTTAAATAAACAAATGACACATACTGACACTTATAAATCCGTTAGGTGTGCATGTTTGTACATTTTAACTTACATAATCTCAATTGTACGTGTCATTCACAATTTTTGCTAGCTAAATATGTATGCTCATTGCTAATCTCGAAAAAGTGTGGTTAATTTGCGCACGCGCAGCTTTAATTTAGCGGAAGTATGTAAGTAAGTATATTAGATATTTTATCGAACATATACATATGTATGTAAGTTTCCTGGATGTTACAGTTTTTATACCGGAAAGGTGCTATACGTGTTAAAAATACGAGTATGTTTTAATGGAAAACTTAAACGATAAGTAAACAAAAAAAAACTGTCTTCTCGTTGTCTTGCAAAATATTTCGCTGGCTTAGAGTGTGAAGCTTCTAATTCTGTTATTTTCTAAAAAAAAAAATCACAATTTGACGCAGAAAGGAACAATGTTATATATGCAGCGTTTCCAAAGAGGCCGAAGTACTTGCTTTATTTATTTTGACGCGCAAATATTCTATGCCCAAAATAGTCACAGAAAATTTTATAAGTTCCAAACAATAAAAAAAAGTGCATCAACTTTGTCGAGTTCGATTGCTATGTGAAAAACTGGACTTGGCAAATTTTCACTCTAAGCTAGCGATTTGCTGAGTATGAAGTATAAATGTGTTTCTCACTGACACAAACACAAATCTCTCAAGCAAAGAGTGCTTCTCACCGTGCCAAATCTCTGTGTACGATCTTTTGTGTTTTCTGCTGTGGGTTATTTATCAACTAAATAAAGTTTTTCTTCCGCAAAGACACTTTGGCAGAGACTTTTATTTTTAAGTGGCTTCGCTTTTTGGTTATTGAAAGACAGAAAAATATAAGTGGAAGAAAAGCGTTAGCCATATCTGAAAGTAAATAAGATATTTTTTATATGGCATTTTATTTTAAAATTTAGAGTATTAAATTATTGGCATAGATGCTATTATATTCAAGTACATTTTGAGTTAGTTTGAGCTAAAAGAAAATAGCAAATTTTATATGTTTCTACGCACTTCTACGGTACCCTGCGTACACGTTTGTGGGTAACCGCGCTCGAACACTTATTTTTTCTTTCCTAGGGATAAGTGTCCGAGAAAACAGCAACGGAAATTATATGCAAATAACTCTTTCCCACTGAGTGAGAGCACACATTAAAAATAAATCACCTTCTCTCTGTTGTGGGCTATTTTTTCTCTTAAATAGTAAGAATTATTTTGGGACACTTTCAAAGTGGAGAGGGTTATTTTCGATCCCTGCTTCAAAACTTACCCATTCTGAATCTCAGTTTACAAATGTACTTTCAACATTTCCACCATCTTCAGCGAATCTTTAATCAACGGTCACTGCCAGTGTTGCCAGAACTTTCTGGGCCAACCGGTTAGATTGGCAAAAAAAACCGGCTAAAAACGGCTAAACTGTTTCAACTAAATTTCACATGTTTTATTTAAATAAATCATAAGTAGAAAGACTAGTTCTTGGGGAGAAGTTGCAAATTCAAGCTGGAAAAGATTTTGGCGGCAAAAATTTGCAATTAGAAAAAAACATATGAATGCGGCACATGGTTGCATT